GGAGGCGAGGGGAGAGGAGGCCGGAGAGAGGCGTAGGCGAGGGCGGTACAGATCCCTTTGGCGGTCCTCCGCAGCTCGGCACGCCGGGCAGCGAGGGGAGGGAGCGGTACGAGGCGGCGAGCGAGGGGAGGGAGCCTGTCCACAGGGGCAGGCTGTGAAGAGGGGAGGGGAGCGGGGCGGCGAGGGGAGGGGAGGGGAGGGGGGGGGATGCCCGACGAGAGCGGGTCGACGGAGCCGTAGCCGTGCTGTATCCCGACCAGCAGCGAGTAGTCCTACCGCCACCACCTCTTCATGCTATCTCGTTGCTGTCTTGTCTTGTCGTTGGGCGAGCAGCGGGCGCACCATGATGTTGTGCGAGCGGAGGAACTCGGCGTCCTGTTCACAGCGAGGAGGTGTGAAGGCGAGTCCGAGGTGCCGCCGAGCGCAGCTCATCACTCCAAAGTCCTTCTGGCACTGCGCCGCCAGCTGGGCCGCCTGTGCACTCGTTAATGGTTAATTAGTACTAATCAACTGCAGATGCAACCCTAGCTGGGCCGCCTGCTCACAGATAGCCGCTGTGAAAAGCCGCTCTTCACACCTCGGCAGCCATCTCGGCCGCATCTCGGCTGTATCTCGCCTCGGCAGACGGAAGGTGGAGCTTGCGCTGCAGGTCCGAGTCGAGGCGTGTGCCGGACTCGCGGCGCGCAGACCGGCCGATCCAAGAGCCTGCTCCAACGCACGGACGAGGTGTGAAGAGGCGCCGGTCGCGGTGGGAGGTGCCCGGGTGACGATGTCGGCGCTGCTGCGGCTGGTCGCCTCAGCGGGCGAGCTCCGCGACACAATTAATTAGATTAATAAATTAGTTAGGCAGGTCGCCTCAGCGGGCGAGCTCCGCGACATAATTAATTAATTAACTAATCAATTAGGCAGGTCGCCTCAGCGGGCGAGCTCCGCGACACAATTAATTAGATTAATAAATTAGTTAGGCAGGTCGCCTCAGCGGGCGAGCTCCGCGACATAATTAATTAGATTAATAAATTAGTTAGGCAGGTCGCCTCAGCGGGCGAGCTCCGCGACATCTCGGGCGATCTCGAGGCATTAGGCGCCGCTCCAAGAGCCGTTTGGGACCGTTAGCGATCGAGCTGGCAAGGCTGCATCTCGGCTGCATCTCGGCTGCATCTCGGCTGCGCTCTAGCTGCGAGGCGGAAGTATCTAGGAGAATGTCAGGAAATGTCTAGGAGATGTCCCTTGAGGTCGTAGCGCTCGAGCTGCGAGGCGGGGACGGAGGCGGCGTGGAACAGGTTCTCCATCACCTGCAGTTAATGAGTAC